TCCGCGCCCCCCCCCCCCCCGGCTCTTCAGCGCCGCCCAGCTGCTCAGCCGGCCACAGTCCCAGTCCGCCCGGGCCCATCCGCCAGCCCTGTCACACGGAGCCCCCCCGGTCCCTTCCGCGCGGCTCACCCCACACCAGTCCCGCCGCTGCCACCGCCTCTCCTCTTCCTCCTCGGCCGCCACAGCCTCCTTCACCGCCGCGGCCGCCTCTACCACCGCCAAGGCTCACACTCAGTCGCCGCCGCCGTAAAGCGCCCCGGCTGTTACCCCGGGTAAAGTTTCCTGGGCCTGGCTTTACGACACTTCCCTGCCTGCCGGCTCCCGGGGCCAAGGGAAAGAGGCGTGCAGGGAGGTGACCTGTGGAGGGGCGGGGACGAAGGTGTCTTCTGCGGGCTTCGGGGGAGGCCGCGTGCTAATGGGTGGAGCTGTGGGGCGGGGAAGTTGCTGAGGCCTTTGGAGTCACCAGCTCCCATCCCCCGCTCCTGGGATGTGAGACTTCTCCGCCCCGGCAGTTTGACGCACAGGGCTGGAGACGGATGGGCCTGACAGGCGCTTTCTGCTCCAGGGTTGCCGCCCCCGTGAAGCTGGCGCGAACCCCGTCCTCTAGGGGCTGATTACAAGTCTCCTAAGAAAGCTTGACTCAGCTGCATAATGTTTAACTTTTGCCCTGACCGAGAAGCTGGGACGAGAAGTGAGTTTACCTAGGTCCCTTCAAAAATGGAGCGAATCAAGAAAGCAAATAGAAAAGGAGAGGAAGTTAGAAGCTTTGAGCTGTGAAAATATAGGGATGCCTGTTGAAACTTGGTCGTTAACAAGACAGTCGATGCACCCTTTGAAGCAAGAGAAAGTGGACAGGTAGTCCTCTTCCTGTTCCTCTCCCAACCCCCACCCTGGCCCAGGAAAATTGGAGGTAAATGTGACTAACAGATGCTGGGCAGCTGCAAGCACGCCTGGGGAAAGGTTAGAGAGAGATGGTTGAAGAGAGTGACGACAGCTAAGGAGCACATTCCTAAATTTGTGACACAAATCGTTATGGATTGGGAAACCCTGATGCCATTCCCTCCAAGTGGTCTGCCCAGCGGGAATAGAAGGAATAGAACTGCAGGACACACGTGAGTGTGCTCCCGGGCTCATTCTGCTGTGGTCCACCCTGGTGAGTTTCAGCAGGTCTGAGCTGAGAGGCAGACAGGTAATGTAACTCTCCTGCATACTGAGCAGATCAGGTTTTTTGAAAACTCTTTTGTACAGCTGGTCAAGCGTGCAGCAGAATGGATGTTTTCAGGGATATAATTCTATGATTGATATGTTTGCAACTTTTTGCCATAATCTAAACTCTGCAAAAAATGAAATGCACTAACATGGTTATTCGATTCATTTGTTAAGGTCCTTGCCACTAAACTCTGTTAAAAGAAGACTATCGCTTTCCCTCGAGAAATTCAAACTATAGTTATAAAAATAATAATAAAAAACATTTATTACATGCTATGGTCCAGGTACTGTTCTGCGTGTCTTATATGAATTTATTAACACATTTATATGTTTTTTAAAACTATACAAATACTGATATTTGTGCACAAACAGGCATGTAGAAAATCATCTATTTCAGCCTGGTGTAATAAGCAAAAATAATCCCAAATGACTCAAATGTCTATCAATATAGGAGTAGTTAAATAAACTTGTGATACATAAGTACTGTAGAATATAGCTACGTGTTTTAGGCTGGGTTCTCTTAAGAAACAAAACCAGTGAAGTGTACACAGGCATACCTCATTTTATTGTGCTTTGTTTTATTGCATTTTGCAGATATTGCATTTTTTGCAAATTGAAGGTTTGTGACAACCCTGTGTTGAGCAAGTCTGTCGGCATTATTTTTCCAACAGCATATGCTCACTTCGTGTCTCTGTGTCACATTTTGGTAATTCTCGGAATATTTCAAAATTTTCTTTATTATTGTATCTATTATGGTGATCTGTGATCAGGGATTTTTGATGTTAGTACTGTAATTGTTTTAGGGTACCACAAATCACACCCATGTAAGACAGCGAATTTAATCAATAAATGTTAACATATGTTCTGACTGCTCCACCGGCCAACCGTTCACCGTCTCTCTCCCTCTCCTCTGGCCTTCCTGTCTTAGGCTGGGTTCTCTAGAGAAGCAAAACCAGTAAAGTGTATAAATATATATGTAGAGAGATTTATATCAAAGAAACAGCTCACGCGATTGTAGAGGCTGGGACGTCCCAAGTCTGTGGATTAGGATAGAGGCTTCTCCCGATTCACGTAGCTGCAGGGGCTGAGGAACCCAAGATCGGCAGGTCAGATAGCAGGACTCCACTCACAGGCTGTGAAGATGGAAGAATCCCAGGATCAGCAGATAAGCGTCTAGCTCAATTCCCAAGAACCAGAGGCCAGATGAACAGGAGGCAGCCATAGGATCCAGAGCAAGCAAAAAGCCAGAATGTCTGCTTATATTCAGATGCAGGCCACACCCCCAAGGAAACTCCCTTTCCACTGATTGACTACTCACAGCGGATTCAATCATGGGAGTGATTATGTATAAACACTAAGAATCATGGCTCAGCCAAGTTGACACACAACCTTAACCATCACACTCCTTATTGCCTGAGACACGACCTGCTGATCTTGGGTTCACCAGCCCCTGCAGCTGCGTGAATCAGGAGAAACCTTGTGGTCTTTTATGCTGATCCTGGAATTCAATGACCTTCAGAGCTTGTGAGCAGGAGCCCCTCTCTGACCTGCCAATGTTCGGTTCACCAGCTTCTGTGGCTCCATGAATTGGGAGAGGCCTGCACCCTGATCCATGGACTTGGGATGTTTTAGCCTCTACAATTGCACAAGCTGTTTTCTTGATATGAATCTCTCTCTATATATATATATACTTATAGGCTTTACTGGTTTTGCTTCTCTAGAGAACCCAGCCTAAGACATGTGCCAAACAGTTAGCCAAGTTGTGAATGCAAAGGAAAAGTTCTTGAAGGAAATTAAAAGTGCTACTCCAGTGAACACACAAATGATAAAAAAGCAAAACAGCTTTATTGCTGATACAGAGAAAGTTGTAGTGATCTGGATAGAAGATCAAACCAGCCACAACATTCCCTTAAGCCAAAGCCTAATCCAGAGCAAGGCCTTAACTCTTTTCAGTTCTGTGAAGGCTGAGAGAGGTGAGGAAGCTGCAGAAGACAAGTTTGAAGCTAGCAGAGGTTGGTTCATGAGGTTTAAGGAAAGAAGCTGTCTCCATAACATAAAAGTGCAAGGTGAAGCAGCAAGTGCTGATGCAGAAGCTGCAGCAAGTTATCCAGAAGATCTAGCTAAAATAATTGTTGAAGGTGGCTACACTAAACAACAGATTTTCAGAACAGCCTTATATTGGAAGAAGATGCCATCTAGGACTTTCATAGCTCTAGAAGAGAAGTCGATGCCTGGCTTCAAAACTTCAATGGACAGGCTTACTCTCCTGTTAGGGGCTAATGCAGCTGGTGACTTTTAAATTGAAGCCAATACTCATTTACTATTCTGAAAATCCTAGGCTATTAAGAGTTATGCTAAATCTACTCTGCCTGTGCTCTATAAAAGGAACAACACAGCCTGGATGACAGCACATCTGTTTACAACATGGTTTACTGAATATTTCAAGCCCACTGTTGAGACCTACTGCTCAGAAAAAAAGATTCCTTGCAGAAGGACAGCACACACTACAGGGGAAGTCAACACAACTGAACTAAACCAAAGCTAAGAAGTTTCCGGAATACAATCAAACACTTTGAGAGACAGAGTAGCAGGGGTTAGGATCTGGGGACCATGCTTTCAGGGGACATCTATGTCAATTGTCATAACAAAGCTTATTAAGAAAATGTTCTGCATCTTACTTTGGTGAGTGGCATCTGGGGTCTTAAAAGCTTGCAAGCGGCCATCTAAGATGCATCGGTTGGTCTCAACCACCTGAAGTAAAGGAGAATGAAGACCACCAAAGACACAAGGAAAGTATTAGCACAAGAGACAGAAAGGGCCACATAAACCAGAGACTTTATCAGTCTGAGACCAGAAGAACTAGATGGTGCTCAGCTACCATCAGTGACCGCCCTGACAGGGAACACAACAAAGAGTCCCTGATGGAGCAGGAGAAAGGTGGGGAGGGGATGCAGAACTCAAATCTAGTAAGAAGACCAGATTTAATGGTCTGACTGAGACTGGAGGAACCCCAGAAAGCATGGCCCCCAGATTCTGTATCAGCCCAGAACTAAAACAATTTCTGAGGCCAACTCTTCAGACAGGGATTGGACTGGACTGTGGGACATAAAGTGATACTTGTGAGGAATGTGCTTCTCAGCTCAAGTAGATACAAGAGACTAAATGGGCAGCTTCTGTCTGGAGGTGAGATGGGAAGGCAGAGAGGGTGAGGAGCTGGTTGAGTGGACATGGGGAATCGGGCGGAAAGGAGGAGTGTGTTGTCGCAGTATGGGGTGAGAAATTAGGGTCACATAACAATGTACGTATAAATTTTTGTATGGGAGACTAACTTGAAATGTAAACTTCATTTAAACTACAACAATAAAAAAAAAAAAGATTCCTTGCAGAATATTACTGGTCATTGACAATGCACCTGGTCCCCCAGGATCTCTGACTGAGATGTACAAGGAGATTGATGTTGTTTTCATGCCTGCTAACACAACATCCATTCTGCAGCCCATAGATCAAGGAGTAATTTTGACTTTCAAGTCTTATTATTAAAGAAATACATTGCATAAGGCTATTGCTGTCATAGGTAGTGCTTCCTGTGATGGATCTGGGCAAAGTCAATTGAAAACCTTCTGGAAAGGGATCACCATTCTAGATGCCATTAAGAACATTCATGATTCATGGGAGGGGGTCAAAATATCAACATTAACAGGAGTTTGGAAGCAGTTGATTCCAACGTTCATGGATGACTTAGAGGGGTTCAAGACTTCAGTGGAGGAAGTAACTGCAGATGTGGTGGAAATAACAAGAGGGCTAGAAGTGGAGACTGAAGATGTGATGGAATTACTGCAATCTCATGATAAAACTTTAACAGATGAGGAGTTGCTTCTTATGGATGAGCAAAGAGTGATTTCTTGAGATGAAATCTACTGTTGAAGATGCTGTGAACATTGTTGAAATGACAACAAAGGATTTAGAATATTAGATAAACTTAGTTGATAAAGCAGCGGCAGGATTTGAGAGGATTGACTCCAATTTTGAAAGAAGTTCTACTGTGGATAAAATGCTATCACACAGTATTTCA